ATCAGCAACAAAAGTCAATGTCAGCAGGAGTATATAAAATACTTTTCGATGTAATTTTATATTTCACTATTCGAGGTTACTTTCTAAAAACTAATCTGAGATAAAACTTGGATTTTTGTAAGTGTAGAATAAAATGGCGGCGGCCGAAAAGTTTGATGAAGRCGAACGGCGAGAAATGGAGTTGGAGGCACTTATGGCGATCTATGAAGATGAACTCAAATTATCCTTCGATGAAGACAATTCGATAAGCTATCGAATAGAGCTGAGAGATGTCAATGCTGTTTTAATTTGTCGTCTTTCAGGTAAAGTCTAGTGGACTTTAAACTTGCATTTATCATTGATCGATCCTCTAATGCCTGCTAGCTCAGTTTTCAAGTTTTAAGCTTTATAAACTCTTACTCTACAAACAGAGCTACTTTTCTCCCCCGCTTCTTAATGATGTTTCCAACCTATTCATTTTTGCTCGAATCAATTTCAAAACCATGACAAAGAGATGGAATAGTGTAAGATGCAGTTCCAAAAGTAGCGTGTAAAATTTTAAGTTAAATATTTCAGTTCACAGGAAAATTCAAAATCTATTTTGTCCCCACTCAAGAAAACATATTTCAAGYCTAGAATGTTATTGTTTTTGTATTTCCAGATAGATACCCCGATGTTGTTCCAGACATTAAAGTTGTTCAACCGTCCAACAATCATCTTCTTGATCTTGAGAAACTTCTTTTGAAATTATCAGAAGATATGACTGGAGATGCCATGCTCTACAATCTGATTGAAGAAGCCAARAAATGGGCAGCAGAAAATAAGCTTTCTACTGACTTTGAAACCACAACCACTGAGCAGTCCTCACCCTCTGTTTGCAAATTCTTTCTACAAGGAAGATGTAAGTTTGGAGATAAATGYAAGAATGTTCATCCATCTACAAACAATGGAGCAAACAGCAAGCAGCAGGAGATAAYCCCATCTGGTGATAATTTCAGCAAAGAACCAAAGTCAGGCAAGAAATTGCCAATGAAAACAGCTTSTGATGTGATTTCAAGGATTCAGTGGGATGAGAGAATTGAYGGTTCATCTTTCAGTATAGGATATCTTGACAGGTTTGTGTATTCCTCTTTCAATAGAGGAATGTTGATGAAATCTTATATGATGATAAAGTCAATCAAGGCTCTGTCTAACTTTTTTTTCTCAAACTGTTAAAGAGGCATGGTCCACCAGCATCCCTTTTGAGCTTTTTTTTATACTTGAYCAGGCATGCAAAATTCTGTTCATAATAAATACCATATGAAAGCAAATTGTACTTTCACTATCTAGAGAATCCTTGAATGTGYTATTTTCATTTTCACTAGAAATAACAACTTTAAGAAAAGGAGAAATATAATAAAACTCTATAACACATTACGAATAATTGGTTCATTCTTTGACAGATTTGTGGGTATCGTAGAGAAACCATTCACAGACTTCAGCTGGGATGACATTGCCTCCACAGACTACAATGTCTTGTCCATTCCTAGACATCGAATACAGTATTTCAAATATAACAGTCAGATAGTATGGGACAAGAGAGAAAGRTTGGACAATGTCTTTGGTTCTACTGGAAGTGGCATCACCATATATGATTTGATTGACAACCCAACATCAGTGGACAAAATTGAAGCAACTTTGCCAGTTGAAGATATTGAACTTCCCAATGTTGATGATTTGKATTTTGAGCACACATGTCCAGGCCATGTGAATGGCCACAACAAGAGGAAAAATGATGGTCCAAACTATTTCCTTGCATTT